CCATTTTTTTCATGATCTTTGATTGTAAAAAGAGTAAGTGAAGCAAAAAAAAGCTCAAATGATAGCAATTCTTCATCACCAAAACAAGGTGGTTACAATTGAACAAGTACATAAACTAAGTAAAGAGTTTAAACTAAAATTCTAAAAAAGACAGTAAGGCTCAAGCAAGCAGCATGCTTTATTAATTTGAGGTTTTAAACCAGTGAGCAAATGAGGGTGAGTGACATCCACCTGCAAAAAGATAAGCAAACAAATAAGAGAGTAAGAGACATAATAGTGTTATAGTGATTAAAAAAACATTACATTCATTTTCAAAAACTCAAATACAACTTACAAATCTGGCTATGCAGAAGTATCATCCACATCCTTCTCCTTCTCCACCTCAACCCCATCTTTCTCCAACTCAGCATAACCATACAACCAATTTCGAGTTGTTATCAAAGCTTCGACATGTTTGTGCAAGAGTGAACTCCTCCACCTATTTAAAACTCTGCCACCCATGCTAAAAGAAGATTCGGAAGCAACAGTAGTAATAGGTATCGCAAGAATATCTTTAGCTATACGACCAAGACTTGGGAAAGTTGTTGATTGCTCCTTCCAATAGCCCAAAATATCGAATTCCTCATCAACATTACAAGGTTTTAAAGGCAATTCTAAGTATAATTCTAATTCAGATTTACCCATGTCACCACTAGCAACATCAGCAACAAAATTCTGAAATCACAAATAAAAAAGTTCAAAACAGAATAACCCAAAAAAGTAATTAACATATTGAATAATGATAATATTTGTCGTTATCTTACCGCATAAACTCTACTAGTCTTGCGTGGACGATATGCATCTGAATTTGAACTACCTTGGGAAAAATAAGTAGGAAGAGGATCCTTGTAATGGTTAAACAATTGAACAAATTCATGATACACCTCCTGGACTTTTGTTTCAACCATGTGAGCTTCATACAAATCCTTAAAAAGATGTCTCAAAAATTTCAACTTAAACCGAGGATCAAGAATTGCAGCAAAAGATAATAGCACAGAGTAATCAAACCAATATTTATCAAACTTGCAACGCATAAGATCTGCCATTTCTTTGAGTTTTGGATCATCCCCTTTAGAAGCAGCCACTAATAGTGACTCAATTCTACAAATGTTGGCAACATAAAGATTGGAGGTGGGATATTCAGAACCGGAAAACAAATTAGTAATGTCATAAAAGGGTTCAAGAAAATCACACATTTTTTCTACTATATCCCATTCATGAGCAGTAAGCGCCAAGTGATAATTGCTCTCTATCCTACCGAACATTTTCAAAGCCGGTAAAAGATCAAGAGCTCGACGAAGCATTAAGAAAGTAGAATTCCATCTAGTAGGAACATCCATCCATAGCTTTACACCTGTAGCTAAATTACAACTAGAAACACACCGCTCAAACCTTATAAGTCTAGCTTCAGAAGAATCAACATACTTCACATTCTCCCGAACTTTCGCAACAGATTCATCAATGACTTTCAAACCTTCTTTGACAATTAAGTTTAAGATATGGGCAGAGCATCTAACATGAAAATATTTACCGTCAAGAGGTATTTAGCCATTGCATCCAATTCAATTTGGAGTTTCCCAACCATAGAATCCATATTACTTGCATTGTCAATAGTCATACTATAAATTTTTCTTTCAATACCCCAATCTTTGATCAAACTAAAAACCAGATTATAAATTTCATGACCATTATGGGGAGGTGGAAAATGCCTAAAGTTCAGCACCTTAGACCGTAATTTCCAGTCATTATCCACAAAATGGGCCGTAAGAGAAAAAAAACCACGAGTAGTACAAGCTGTCCATACATCACAAGTCAAGGACACTTTACTTGTTAAGGCCTTAAACGTATTACGAACATATTGCTTTAACACATCATGCTCTGTCATGCACCATTTCAATATTGTGTTTCTAGAAATAGTTCTAACCTTGGAATTCAAATATGTATGCAATTCCCTAAACCCCTCATGTTCAACAATACTTAAAGAATAACCATGCTTCAATATAGCTCTAGCAAATAACTTATAATATTCTTTTTGATCAAATTCAGATGCATTAGACTCATCAGACTTATCTGAATCTTTATATAGTGGGCACTTATCAAGGTGTCTCTTTAGATTAGACGTACCAGTTGAACCACTATGTTTCTGGACTAGTCTTTTGCAAAACTTGCATGCAGCATGTTCACCATTAATCTCAAAATTCTGCCAAATAGGAGATCACTTTCCTTGAATTGGAGATATTGATTGATGGGGTTCAGGTGTTGGGGTAGCATTTCCAACACTCATGCATGTATTTGATGCTTGCTCAAACTCGAAGTCACCCACTACACCAAACAATCAGGCAAAGATTAGGAGTTAGATCAATAAAAATGCATAATTTATTATACTACTTTGTAATAAAGAGAATTTTGAAATATATTTTGTAATAGTAAGACATATGATTTCCAATATTTTGTTCTACTCTTAATTCATACATAGTACTTAGTAAAAGAGACACACAACACCTATAATCGAGCAACTGTGACAGCAAAACCAGAAACTTATAAATCTGGCGATTTTTTTTTTTTTTATCTAATCTGGCGATTCTATATACATGCAAATCAATTAATTTTTGCCAATTACTTTACAATGGCATATAGTATAAGATTGATACATTAAATTTCACGTTTTATTGTTTCTGAATCACTATCTCCTTAACTGAAGCATATAAATGGAATCTGCAAAATTTAATTAGAATGAACCATACCTCTTTCAGCTGCGTAATCAAATCCATCCTCCGCCATGATAGTTTGACCCCTTTAACACCAAAACATATTAACAAATTAAACCCCTTAAAATTATCAAGAACATCTAAATCTAAAAATTTGCCCTAAACGTTTTAATCCCTAAATATATTTAAAATCAAAATGCTAAGCATAATATTAAAATGTAAAATTAACAAATTATTTAAAATCAAAATGCTAAGCATAATATTAAAATGTAAAATTGGACTGATTACCACTCCTTGACTCCTTGTTGAAGGTAGAATACGGGAGTGAGATTTGAGATTGAGAGTGGGATTGTGTGAGTCTAAGAGAGGCCGAACAGTGGTGAATTATAGCCATGGGTGGATCTCTGAATTTTAGTATATTAGGAAGCTAGATTGTAATGGCGGAAATGGCGAGACTTGCGCTGAGAATTTTAGTATATTAGGAGTTCTACGCTCTAATGAAGGTGATAATTTGAAGTTTGAGAGTGAATTACTGATGATTGAATTGAACGCTCTAATCACTCTTTTTCCTTTTTATATATTTTTTTTTATTTTGTTACCTAATTAAGTCGTAAACTATCACATTTTTCTCCAAATAATATTATGTCATATTTTTTTCCCTAATTATATGAGTTATTTTCCTATTTAAGCTTATTCAAATATTTTCAATAAAATTCTCTATTATTTGTATTACAATTCTCTAGTAATTACGATTTACGAATACTACTACTTTTTATATGTAAGTTCATTATATATTTCAATTAAACAATTATGGTGTACGAATACTACTATTATATAGGCGCATGTGCATTAATGTAGTCAATTACGGTTTACAAATACAATTTGACCTTAGGCTTGTTTGTTTTATCCTATATTTTATATATAAAAAAAAATCAAAAAAAAAAAAGTTAAAAAAAAATAATAATTTCGAATAATGATTGAATTGAACGTGATAATGATTGAATAAGATGATAATCTGACCCACATAATTTACCTGTACCCGATCATGACTTGACTTGTTTGTACTCGAGAAAGTGGTGACTCGAACAAGAGTTGTTAAAAGGCTTTTATTGATCTTTTATTTTTCTAATTTTATTATTCATTTGCCTATTTAATCTTATTTAAAAAAAATGCCATTAAAAAAAACGTGAACTCGGATATGAACTTATAAAAAATAAATAGGTTTAGATAATTTCAAATAAAATAAGTTTAGAAAAAAAATTGTTGTATTTTAATTTATCTAAACTAAACTTATTTTATCCGAATTTATATGAACTTATTGTATTTTATCAAAACAAGTCATCTCGGATATGAACTTATCTGAAATTGTTATCCCTACAATGAGTGGAAACAATGTGAATAGATTAGAATAGGGTTTGAACTTATCTTCTAAAAATCTAAATTAAACCTTATCTTATCTAGTTTTATTAGAATTTAACTTATCTGAAATTATTTCTCTTATAATAAGCGAAGTAATTGATAATGAGTCAACGTGAATGTCATTACATACGCTGTTAACAAACCGACCCAGAAAATGTACCCAAACCTGATATGACTAGAGCTGAAATCAACCCGATACCCAGATTAACCCAATATTTGAGATCCGAACCCGAACATGACCCGACTTGTAAATGACCCGACCTGATTGTAACCCGCAAATAATCGACTTGAACTGAACCCGACTTGTACCCGAACATGACCCGACTTGTAAATGACCCGACCTGATTGTAACCCGCAAATAATCAACTTGAACCGAACCCGACTTGAACCCGTGAATGACCCGACCTGATTATAACCCGCAAATTATATGACTTGAACCGAACCCGACTCAAACCTGAGATTGACCCGACCTGGTTATAACCCGCAAATTATTGACTTGAACCGAACCCGACTCGAACCCGAAAATGACCCTAACCCGTTTTAACCCGTGAAAACCCGAATTAAACCCGACCTATTATTCACCCGACCCGAATGTAACCCGACCTGTTATTAACCCGACCTAAACCCGACCCAAACCCGAAAAGATGTATGACCCGACGTTACCCGACTCAAGCATGACCCAACCCGAACACGACCCGTAAAGATTATGACATTAACCCAAAATTAACCGATCCGAGTTGACCCGACCCACACTAACCCAACCCAAACCCTACCCGTTACCCGAATTGACAGCTCTAGTTATATATATATGATCGAGTTATAACGAGAACCCTCACGAATAATGAGAACTGAGAACCTTTAACAGCCATACAATAAAAAGAGAATGAACGGATGAGATCTTATATCTATTCTTGGCGTTTTTGTTCCTAAACCAACTGAATCAGGCTCTATCTCTCTTCTTCTCAAAGATAAGGTTTTATTTTTCTCTCTCTTCTCAATTAATCTTCAATTTTGACAATTTGTCCCAAAATTGTTGTAATTTGTAATAATAAACTACAATTTCAATCCTTTATTTAATGAGATCGAATTTTTTTACCATATTATTGTAATTTTCAGGAAAAATTATCGCACTTTTCAAGCTTCATTACCTCGATTATCAGCTCGAATTTTTGAGCTGTTGAGGAACTTGATATTGAGTACAATTTACATACTTCTTGAACAATTTGCTAGATTCGTTGCTAAATTTCTCAATGACAGGGGTAAGCACTGAAAATTTGGTACAAATAATTTTTAGTGGTTGTTTTATACGACAATCAAATTACATGCATATTATGAAGGAGTATTTGTGAGATTTTTATACTTGAATTTGCCTATTTTTTTACTTTACATTGAATTAATTTTGATGATTCAATTATTGTTGGTTATTTCTTAATGCACACTAACTGTTTGACAAATTGCCTCAATGAATCCTATTATTTTATCAATTTCAAATATATATATATATATATATATATATATATATATATATATATATATATATATATATATATATATATATATATATATATATATATATATATATATATATGTGTGGTTTTTTAATGGATGTGGCGAGTGCAATTTTGTTTCTTCTGGTGACAGGAAAGCACATAGAGATGACTGGTTTGAGGTTAATAACAGAATAATCAATTCCCTCTTCACACTTATGTATCTTTATCTATGTCTTTACATTTTGCTTTAATTTTAATTAGGTTAGAGCAAATATTTTCCATCTGTGAGCTTGTTTTGGTGGTTGGTTTAAAGGTTCGCTAGCCTAGTTGCTAATTTAAGCTATTTACTTCTTTCTTCAAGGACAATATAGTTCTAAAAGTAAATTATATCTATTTTAAAGTAAGTTAATCTTCTCTTAAAGTAAGCATATGCTAGCCTAATTTGGGATGTGAGTCGATTTTAAAAATTTACTACATAAGCTCCCAGCTCTTGTTTTCAAGATTTGGTATGTCTATGACTATACTGCATATGTTGCTAGAGTTTTTACCAAGGTGAAAAGAAGTGATGCATAGTCTACCTTTGCCTAGGTAGGTAAAACCTGTTAGTAATCTGATAAAAATAATGTGGGTGTTGTAATCATGAATGGAAAGGAAGTAGGTCTTGGGGTGGTTGTGCAGGACTAAAATGGCAAGATTTTAAACACACTAGTACGGAGAAGAACTAGCACATGGGAACCAAGTGTTGCTGCTGCTTTGTGTTATGGGGTTGAGATGTCATGTAGTTTTGGCTATAGCAGGGTGTGGATGGAGAATGATGCTCTCACTATCGTTGAGAAAATTAAGGGGAAAATGTCAGGGTTAGCTATTTGTTTCTCTTCACTGGCCGTGTTATTTATTCGATGTCTTAATTTGATGATTTTTTTATGAAGTCATGTTAAGAGAGTGGGTAATACTTTAGCACATTTAGTTGCTACATCTTTCCAATGATTGAGTAGGGGCATTTCCTATGTCCAATAATTAAGTTGTTCGATCCTAAGAAAAGAAATCAAGCGTTAAATGCTCGAATATAAGTTGTACTCAGCTCTTATCCTAGATGAGTAACCAGGTTTATTCTGAAATAAGAGTGATGATTTGTATAAAATTGAACCTTGCAAAACCTTTTAGCATGTAAAATCCTAATTAAAGATTGAAAAATTCTGTGGAATTCCACATTTGTCCGATATCTATCTCTGTTGGTACAATATTATGACAGAAAATAAAACCTCATGGAGCTTAATTCCTACAAGAATATCTTCTTCTCCGTCACTGGCTAGGCCACCTTCTCTTTTTTTCAAACAATTTCAGCACGGAAACTTATAGTTTTATGTTTTAACTCTTGTAACAGGAAATCTAAGAAGATGAGTGAGAAACAAATGGAGAAATAGGTCGATCATACACAACAAGAAAAGGAAGGGCAGTTGTTATATTAATAATAAGTCTGAAAGGGTAAATTTATTAATAATCAAATTCTTCATTACCTACTAGCAATTTTAATAACAACTTCAAAAGATAATATTTTTTCTAAAAATATGCACAAAAGTAGTCATTTTATTTGGAGCAAATTCAGAAATAGCATACCTGGCCTAATATGATTGTTTATACTTGTTCCAAAAAATAATATCATAACAAAGAAGATATTGTATCAATCAAAAGATGAAAGCTCTGCAGAAGCAGTTCTAAATGCAAGCAAGGTAAGATTATTAGCAAATTTGTGATCCTTTCCTGCAAACATGCAACACAAATAATAAATATATAACACATTAGCAGGAACAAATATAAAACTCGTCCTCATTAGCATATTGCAGCATTGTATTGAGAAATGATTAGTATTTTAGTTGATTGTTAGCTAATTTATTAGAAATAAGTTGTTCAGATGAGAGTTAAGTTTGTTAGAGAAGCAGGAATTGCCCTACTCAAACAATAATTTAAGAGCTAATTATACTTTTGATGCTAAACCACTTGATGTATTCCAGATATTTCAGATGAAGTTATTAGAAATTGAAAAGAAACTCAAAAATCGATAAGCACTGGTTAAGGTTCCATACACTTTATTGTATGTCTGTATCCAAACACATAATACTAGCTCATGTGGTTTTTGGTGTGAAAAAAGTAAATAAAAACGACTCTTAAGTGAGTAAAAAAGACTTTAAAGTAAACCTATTAGCTCAAGTGGTAGAGCACTATGCAGATGCATAGAGATGTAGGTTCGATTCCTACATAGGTTATCTTAAAAAGTAATTACAAAACACTCTAAAGTTATTCAAAATATTTCAAAAGTAAATAAAAATATCTCAAAAATAGAAAAACAAAAAAATAAATAACTTAATCTATGTCAAAAAAAAAATCATAACTCTAGTAGAAAACACTAAAAGGGAAGTGGTTCAGACCCCCTAATGGGAAGCAGTTTTGAATTGGTCCGGCTTAGGGGTCTTCCCATTGCCAATTTAAATGGGAAGCTGTTCAAACCGCTTCCCATTTAGAGGTAATTACAAGCGGTTTTGGCACTAAACCGCTTCCCATTACGCCTAAAAAATTTATAAAAAAAAAATCACTTAAATTAATATACAAACAATTAACATATGCATAAAAATTATTTTTATTAATCAAATGATGTAATACTACATTTTCATCAAAAAAAAAAAATTGTAATATGAAAAAATACTTAAATTAAAATTCAAACAATTAACATATGTATAAAAAAAAAATGCAGCATTTTCCTTGAAAAAAAAAAGAAAATAATAATAATAAAAAAAAAAAAGCATCCAAAACCAACCACGCGCAACCGCCATCAGCCACGCGCAATTCGTCCACCAAACACCAACATTCACCCACCAAAACTAGCCCCCTTATACCGTATCACCACCACCACCAAGTACCTTTAACCAACCTTTATAATTTTTTTTAAAAAAAATCATCTTACCCACCACGACCTCCACCCAAACCAGATCCGTGGCCACCTGAAACAAACCAAAACAACCACACATCACCGTAAAATAAAATAAAAACCTCAAAAAGGAACATACCTTAAAATCCACTAAAATCCCGATTTTGGCTTGAAATTATGGTTTTAAAGGTCAAATTCGACCATGAAAAACTCTAGATCTATGGTTTTCATGGTCGTAATTGACCTAAAACCCTATAAATCCATGGTGGTGCTTGCTAGGTGAGTCGGTGGTGCTTGTGTTTGTCGGCGTTTGTGGTGGTGGTCGACGTTTGTGGTGGTTAGAAGAGAGAAGGAGATCGAAGAGAGAAGAAGAGGAAAAGAAGAGGAAATATAAGGAGATCGAAGAAGAGGAAAATAAGAGGAAAGAGAAGGAGATCAAAGAAAGGAAAACAAGAGGAAGAGAAGAGGGAGAAGGAGATCGAAGAAGAGGAAAGAGAATGAGAACGAGAGAGATGAAGAGGAGAGAAAAATCACCAAGAGAAGAGAGAAGAGAGGAGAGAGAAAAAGAATAAGAAAATGAAGGGAGAGAGAATATAAGGGGCTGCTACTAGCTGTACAATATTAGTTTTAGGGTTTTTTATTAAAAGGGAAGCAGTTCACTATTCAAACCGCTTCCAATTGAATATTTGGAAGTGGTTCACTCATAAACCGCTTCCCATTTGCATGTTTCTCTTTTTTTGGCGGGATTTTGAGGGTTTTTGGAGCGGAATATAATAACCGCTTCCTATTTGAGGCTTCCCAATTGATTTTTTTCTGCAAGTGTAATTACTCTAAAATAAATAAATAATGCTAAAAAGTAAATCAAAGTATCATTGAAGTTAATCAAATCATCATTAAAGTGTATGAATGAAAAATTATCTTGAAATGATAAATGACTAAGGATACTTTGTTATATCACAAACAGTGCGAGTTATTGACTTTCATATGTTTATAAGATGATTTGAGCCATAAGAAACAAATATATTAAGTCGATATGATGTAGAGTTTTTCAAATTAAAAGTAAATAAAACTATATTAAAAATAAACAAAAAAGAAGAAATCTAATAAAACATTACAAATTCTAATTGTTAGATTTCACACATAAAACCTACATGGGATTCAAACCCACATCTTTTGTGCACTTGCACAATGCTCTACCTATTGAGCTAGTAGGCTATTATATAGTAAGAATAGTTAGTTAGCACTATCGATCCATTTTATATGGAATAATCACAAAAGTAAATAAAAAATACTCAAAAGTAAATAAGAAAAATCTTAATCAAGGAAATACATCTTCTCCCAACCATATTTCTTGCAACCCAATCAACAAGCCACAAGGAGCCTGAACGATGCTAATAGCTGCTGCTGCATTTGTATTTTCAGCCTCCTACCTTACTACTATGCGCCGTACAATAGTCCACATTATCTCCCCTTCCACTACATCCAGTTCCGTATAATCATCACCGTGTATAGAACAAGACCTTAGGAACTGCCCATGGAAAAAAAAAAAGAGCTACACAGATAAAACAAAAGACCCTTATCAATTAGGCATACAGTATATACCAGCAATATTGATTGAGATTTAAGATGGTACTGCCACAACCTCCATTATTCAACTCTAGGAAATTGCTAGCAATTTTGGACACTAGTTAATATTTCTTACAAAAACTAAATATATACCTGCATCCATTACCTTAATTATAAAACATATAAAAATAATTAGTTTAAACAAATAAACGTAAGTCAAACTATGGAAAATAAAACCGCATTACCTTAGTTAAAAATATTACGTTATGCAAATCATTTAGCCCAAAAAGTTAGTTCCAAAAATTCATTCTCATGAATCCCTCTAAAATTAAATTCTGGTTATGCAAATTAGTTCCCAAAATTCATTCTCATAAATCCCTACAAAATTAGTACGTTATGCGAATCCGAACAAGGTTCGATTCTGTTCATGATACCATAATTTTTTGTTCACCCCTATTTATAGAGGTAATTTGGAAAGGTGGAAGCTTTTGAGGTTAAAAGGTTACTATGTTTAAAAAAAAACGGTTAAGAGGTTACTAGTGAAGATTTATGAATAGGTAGAAACTTTGGGTGTACAGGTAGTTTGGTTAAAAAGCAAAAACTAATTTTATCTTTTTTTTTTTTACGTTAAAAACAAGTTTTATCTTATTTTAGGACCTGGGTAATTATTTTGTAAAAAACAAAAGTCAAACTTTTTTAAAAAATAAAAACAAAATACCGACATTGGCCCATGAGAGTGAAAACATGGAAATAAAAAAAAAATAAAAAAAAAATTAAGATTTTTATCCCCTTAAAAATTTAGAATTTGTTGTATACACTCAGGTGTCAAACAATCATAAAAAAGAGAACAAATAATCATGGGTGCCCTGGGTTTTTTTTAAAAAAAAAAAAAACAAATCATGGGTGCCCCATTGTATATAAGTTATACAACAAAAACTTCAAAAAATTCATTTCCAAACAAAAACATCAAATTAATTAACCAGCCTTGTTAAAATACTACTTAGTAAGTAAAATAAACAACACATTCCATCCTTTTTTTTTAAATAAAAATTAAAATTACATACTTTCTATCTTTAAATATGTGAAATAAAGAAGTACTATATTTGAAAAAAAAACATATTTGTCAATATTTGTTGCATATAATAAGAAACATAGATAGTGCTTGTCTAAAAAAATAAATAAGAAACGTAGATAGTATGCAATAAAGGAGTAGTATATATGATTGATTGATTACTAATGGAAAGTTTATAACAAATGTGAGAAACATTTTGATCCTAGAGCCACGTTCAGAGACTAAACCAACACGCATCACAACAACCATATCGTCAACAACTTGCTTCAATCTACTAACAGGGGTCTCACAAGCCTCTTCTAATTCCTTCCAAACACCAGCAATTCTCTTCCACTTTCTCCAATTTAATATTTAACCCGCTTCCCGACCAGCGCCTCCACCACCGCACACTTCACCACCTCCATTCCCGCGGTCAAACCAAACCTCACCTTTCCCATTACTCTCTTACTCTCCTCTCTCTCTCTCTCTCTCTCTTTTTTAAGACATCTTACTCTCTCCTCTTTATTACCCGTATTACTTTTTTTTATACACCAATTTTATAAGTTCTGACACATTGCTAGTTGGCAAGGAAAAGTTAGATGATATATCCAATTTATATACTGTTTTACCCCCGTCCCGCGATCATAATTAGTAGTGTTTTTGGCTCCTTAGAGCCACTTTTATTACTAATTTGTGTTTTCTAGTGTTTTCGTAGTTTTAGTTGTATTTTACAGGAAATTACACTCTTGGAGCATTTTCCCGGGTTTTTGTGGATCAACTACGGAAGCTAGAAGGACACGGCCACTCTTGAATCCCAGGATCGGTGAGAGCCGATGATTAAGGGCTCGGTATGACATACTGGGGCTATTGGATCGATTAATCAAGACCCAATGAGGAAACTTAGATTGGGCCGAGGAATTGATCCCAATCAAAATCCAAGCCTCGAAGAAGAAGAACGAGCCCGATCGGGCGGCTGCGCGCATAAGAACTCTCAAGGAAGAGCCGCGCCCGATCGGGTGCGGCACACCAGCAGCGGGCAAGGCAAAAAGGCGGGCCCGATCGGGCGGCCCTTCGCCCGATCGGGCGCGTGTTTTTCTTAGAGCTGATTAGATTAGTTTTAATTTTTGTTTTGAGGAATGTTTAAGTACGAATTATGTACATAATTTTGGATTACCTTCTTCTTTAGATTTTCTCTCTCTACTTGGAATATTTCTCTCTGTTAAATTCTCTCTCAACTTTTGTTCTTAATTACTTTCATTAATCCAGATCTTTTGGTAACAATTCCTTCTCTTTTAATTTCAGCTATTTTATTTGCTACTTTGATTATGTTTTGTTTAATTTATTTGATTAGTTTAGTTATGATGATGCTTGAGTAGTTTTATTTCTAGGGTTTATGGGGATCTAATAAATGATATGAAGGGGTAATTTTGTGATTGTTAATTATCAATGCTTGGTTAATTTCCTATTGATTGATTTAATGCTATGAAATTAGGTTTGGCCAGATTTAATTGTATGAGTTTAGCAATATTAATTCGAGATTCGACAGATGAGAATTGATGTTTAGGCTTAGTTTCAATAGGCGAATTAATTTATAAATGGTTAAGTCGAGATTCGACAGATGAGATTTAATACCGGTAAATTAACTCTGTGATTATAATACGTAGCAAAAGCCCTTTATAATCTGATTAATCAATGCTTGATGATTGCTTATTATGATTTGCCCTGGAATATTGTTTATTAGTGAACCTACGCCCTAGGTCTTTTAATATTTGATTTTCCCCTACTTTATTTCTTTAGACCTTGTTTGGGGGTAAGAATACCCCCTATATAGGTGGACCAATTCCACCTCAACACGTGTCCGCAAGCTCAGCGCTCAATGAGCCAATTAGAGCATGACACGTGTCACTCAATGATAGAAGGGTGAAAATGGGCTCTAAGTCCACAACCCTATTAACCGTAAAACGGTGGGAAGCCAATCTACTTAGGTTAAATAACCTAAGAGGCACATATCCCAATGGTCTATAAATACTGATCATTACATCAGTTTAAGGGAATCCAATTCTCTCTCCAAGGGCAATGCCTCCCACATTTA